CCACAGAATTAGAATAGTCCTTCGCGGACATGAGGATACAAAAATTCTTTCACATACATAAACAAGAACCTGTTTTGGAAGACGACAGCACATGCAGTTTTATTTGATAAACCCTACAAAAACAAGATTAAAAATGTGTACTCTTTGGAGTACACAGACATTCCAAAGGTATTCTTCACGCCACGTCACGGGCGTTGACATCAGGAGGGAGATCAAGGAAACAACAAATGCAGCAATCATATAAAAGGGAAACACTGTGTCTTAGACCACTGTTGCACTAATGTCATCTTAGTTCATTGCTGCACTAACGTAAACCGAGGTCAATGTTGAAGCAAAATAGCAGTGAAATAACAACAATAACACAGAAATTACAATAACAAAAACTAAAAACTAGGAATAAGAACAAAAATAACATTAAAAATAACAATACGAATTCCGAAACAGGCCTTTTGGTAGAGAAAAAGAGATTCTGAAAGACCACGTCAAAGATGGATTTCATAGCATTAGTGAAGAACGCCTAAGATATAAGACTGGTTCTGTTTGTGCCCTCCCAAGCAATGCAGTGACAGACCAGCGGCGCAGTGAGACGCTACTGTATAGTGAGGTGATGCGACAGACAGACCGACGCGACACTGGGCCCCCACACCTTGCGCTGCGACATAACAAGATTAACTGTGTACAAATATAAACTTAGTTTTTTCTCCGTCTTTCTTTTGCCAGCGCGCAATCAGGATTATGACAGGCGCCACTCCCGGTTAGTCGGGCCGACTCATAATTTACGGTTGCGCTGCCAAAAGAACTCAGTGTATTTACACGTGTGTTTTGACTACCCCGTAGTGATTTCATGTTCTCACATTGAAGGCAACTTTCCCTCAAGGCTCATAATGTGTGTCAAGGGAAACAGGAATTACCAGCGATCGGAGACTGGCGATAAATATTCCCTGTTTGTTTCGTTGATTTCCGATATACGTGAAACGGTGTTTGGCCACTGACGACTAATTTTAATTATGATACATGCTAGTAACGTGGATCGAGGTTAGTGACTGATTATGGCTCTTTCGTTAATTTAAACACTGAATTTACACGTGTTATTTGTTTATGTGTTTGTTTATGGTTTATTTGACATTTATATAAAATCTCAGATTATAATTACTGCATCGAATAATTAAGGAATCATGAATTGGATAGGATATGGTTGTGGTCTAATTCAAATTACATTATCCCGAAGATTTCTGCGTTCTGGGTTGTTGCGCCGTGTAGTATTGTAGATGTTTACCAACGTTTTAGAGGTCATACTGCCTCCGTCTTCAGGGTGATAAATCGCGGCTCACCGTTGTGAAAACCTCAAATGATACCTACATTATCCCGGAATTTGCCTGAAGGAAATGGGGTAAAGAAACTAAAACTTGTCAGGATGCCCGGTGTCTCGGCCGAGATTCAGACTATTTGCAGCCCGGATACAAATGAATTCAGAGTTACCGCTACATTACCCAGCTCGCTGATATGGGACGAGGAAGGCGCTGACAAGTGATGATGGTAGTGGTGATGAATAACGAACCAGTGTTTTTAAAATTGCCGGTGCAGCAGTAGGGTCCTATTTTAGAATGTTTTGGAGTAGTTGGAGAAGACGATAGAATTGTTGACAGTCAGAATCACACAGGATTCTTTTGTGCACAGAAACGGAGAGAAAAAGAGCAGTTTCCCATTATCGTTTATTTCTTTCTAACCGTCCTTATTCCCATCTTTAATTCCATATTTCTCTTCACATTCATTTTTAACCCTTCCTTTCCTTCAATGCGTATTTATTATCCTCCTGCCTTACCTCTCAATTTCATTCTTACAACTTCCCTTCTCCCTTCATATATCTCATTCTTATTTCTTACTTCAAATGTTATTTTCTTTCTTCCACTTTTCCTTTATCCATTTGCAATTCTTTTTAAACGTTTTTCGCTCATGGTTGTTGCAATTCTTATGAGTTTAGAATGGGAACAGAGTATGGAAGAATGGTTGGTTGATTCATTGTGGAATCTGGTTTAGAGACAATGGAACGTCGATTGATCGATGTGGAGGTGGCAATGATTTATTTATCTGGAGAGAGGATAAGGAAGGCACACGGATGTCTTTTCTGTTAAAGGCATGGCCACGAAAACTTCAAAAACAAAACTTGTTACCTGAACTCTCCAAACGCTAATCTGACACTACCCCAGAGGAAACACGCTTCACGAAAACTCCGCAAAGTAAAAAGTCCTTCTTGCGAAGAAATTTCCCGCCTTTTATAAACTCCAAAGGTTCGTTAACGTGCTAACATCACACCATTGATACCCATACACGAGCCACATGAATCTAGCCCAGTCTCTCAATCCGTTTCTTTAAGATCCTCCCTTTTATGTCCAAGTGTTCTCTGGAAGTCCGCGCGTTGTCGAGAAGATCCCTTACATCTTCGTTCTGCCATGTGTACCGGGTATATCAAAAGACATGCTCCAGTTTAAACTACATATATATTCTGATATTAATTATTACAATAAACAAGGGAGAATAATTATTCTAATCTATTAATGGAAAACATGCTCAATGTGTGTGAACCACTGGCATCCAACAACGGTTGCAGCCGACGTTAGAAACTGGCAACTGTTCTGCTTGGAGCGAATTCAGTAATTCTAATGACGACATGAAATTTCTTCTTACACTTTATCAACTGTGTAGTGGTTTGGTCGTTGTTTTTGAACACGTTGTTTCAGACGCCTCAAAAATTAATCGCGGAAGTTAAAATCGTGAGAATATGGCGCCCAAGAACATTCATATCCAAAATGTCCAAGGAAGTGTTATTTTGTACGCCATCTTATGAAACAATGAGGATGTTACCATTGACGGCAAATTAAACAACACAATTATTTATCTGCGTCGAGAATTTGTTGATAAATTATATTTAAACTAAAGCATACTTTTTAATGATCATATATATACGATACACACAGAGGTTCGGGGTTTGGTCCTTTTCCCGTCTCCTGATAACTGGTCCTCTTAAGACATGCTGACAGAGCTTTACGGCCCGATCCTGGTCAAGTGATATGTGATCAAAATATTTCTGGTTTGATCCCCACCCGAGGCATCATAACATTAAAAATAAAGAAAAAACTATGTCAGTATAATGACAATCACCTGACGATGGCGGCAGAGCCTACTACCGAAACATTGAATAAACCATAAATAAACTGACATATTCAAGTCGGTTAAGAGCACCTTACCTGCATTCAGAGAAACCCGGTTCCAGTCTCGGATATTTTCCTTACCATCTACAGGTCAATACTGAGACATCTAACCGAAGAAACTATCACTTTTTTTCACCATTAAAAGCTCCACAACCTCCGCAGTTGAAACAGTGCTATAAAATAACAAACAAAATACTTAATCAGAAAATTTATGATAAGAATCTGGACCCACAGGTCAATTATATCAAATTAGAATGTATTTATTTTCCTCAGTACCGCCTCTTCACAACAGAACACTACGGCTCCCATTCTAAATAAATAACATTTCGAATTACTCGGCGCTAATTAATCTTTTCAGTTGATCAAGAATAACTAAATAAACCAATTAAACAATGAATTCTAATTTCTAAATGCCTGTGTTACGTGTTACATCCAGCTACATTTCAAGTATATTTTACTGCCAGTCCGTAAGTTCTTATCCCTAACTTCCTACTCATTATTTACGTCTCTCTTCTTCATTTCAACTCCCGCTGTTTCAACGGGGAACACATTTTCTTTTCGGTGGATCGTGCCTGTCACTGGTTGAATAACTCTGGCTACAGAGACGTGCATTATCAGAAGTGAGTTATTTATGAACCCGAACATGCGGATCGGAATTTAAAAGTTCGTGTTTCATTTTTTAATGGCGTTACAAAACTTCGTTACGTAATATTAGCCTTTTTTAAATCACGCGACAGTAGTGCCGTAGTGGTTCGAGCAGGAACCTAATTAATTTATGATAACGAAACTTGGGTACATAATAAAATAATTTTACTAACAATGAAAATAATAAACTTCGCTTGGATAATGTGACTTTTCCTGGAGTGACATGCGAAATAACAAATAAGATGTTTTCGTAATTATTTTATAACAATTTATTTTAATTTTATTATTTTCGCAACAAAAACAATAACTCATTTGGGCCTAGATGCCTGAAGCAATTAATTACCCAGTAAGAGTCGACCACTGTTTCAATAATTCTTTACTTGACACTAATCAAATTTCTAAACTGATTTTATACAAAATTTAAAGAACGAAACAGTACCAAACATTTTTTGTCGATAAGGTAAAGTGGTTAAAAATGGGTGGTATATAAAATTATTATTTTTAGGCCCAAAGTAATATGTAGTTTGCATGGAACTACAATCAAAGTTACCATTTCTCTAAGAAGTTGTTGGTTTGCCGTGAAAATAATATTCTCCATTTTAACTCTACATTTGTTTGAAACATTTCTGGATATGTAATAAATTTCACGAATTCACAAAAATTCAAAGAACACATTTAGACTTTGCAGCGTAATCTGTGATGTCATCAGTTGCGTAAAAATACTCTATCTGTGATAATTAGTTCGAAAAAACATACACATCAAATTCAGAATTAACTCATTTACTCATTTGTTTGTAGTTTCTTCAGAATTTTTAAGAGGCAAAGAGATTTATTAATGCGGATGAGGAACACCGCTCTCATGAAAACTTTTTAAACACCCAGCTTGGAACAGCTTCATCTACAGCGAGCCAAGACGATATGCTTCAGATTACTTGATGCATAACGGTACACAATCTGGCACAGGAAACAAGACCAGTTGACAGTGTGTATGGATATCCGTGCCACAAGAACGTAATACCATGATTCCAAACCGTAAATACAGTAGGTCATGTCAATGTTTCTTCTATTCTGTCGCTAACATAGTGGAAACATACTGAATACCAAGATGTAGCACAGTAAAAGTAACCAAATGAGTTAGTTACCTACCTTGCTTATTCTCCTCATTCTTCTACATCTTATAACTTCAGTTCCTAGACTTTTGTAGAAAAACGTTGAGGTATCCATCTATTTCCGTATCATTCCAAGATCCTGAAAACCGAGCATTACAATGTAAGTAACAATTCTATTGCCTAAGTAATTAAAAAGATCGTTAAATAAACAGACATTTTAAACAAATATAGGAAACCTTTATAAACAGAAATAGTTGTCTTTGAAAACAGCCTTATTTTTAAAACATCATAAGAATCTATTTGAAGATAGTCGATATTACAATTGGCTAATCTGAGATCGCAGAATAAGGTGACTTAGTCTCATTCCACCCCAATCACTATTATAATTACAGAAATCCTTGTGTAGAAACCACATTTTTACACACACTATACCTAATGTTTCTCGTTATAGGGAGAGGGAAAGCTAAAGCCAAAACACGGAACAGAGTCAGACCATTGTCCGTGTGAGATGTGCATTGCGCAGAGTTGTGACATATGAAGGATAAAGTGTTCTTCTAATGGCACCAAGAAACCTTCATTAATCTTGTCACCCATTATCGAATGTCTGCATTTACTGAAAAATATCTTCATAAAGTTCAGCCATTGTATTGCAATAACCTATGATTTTATGCGAACGATCATTAATCTCGTATGCCAACTATAACGTTACTTTCAAATCTTAATTTATGTTTCCAGTGTAGTTATTTTCGCAGGCCCTTAGCACTGTGTTTTGTGGTAGGAAACACAAATAACAAGTTAAAAACAGACTTTCAGTGGTCAGAATACAAGACACGTTCAAAATGCACCAGGTTCAAACCCACATGCTGTCACTAACATCCTAAGTACAATATAAAACTAATTTCTGTGCGGTTTAGGATATTCACGCGGTAAAGATGTTGACAATGGTCTTCCGGGTT